CCCTTCCGCCTTCATACAGGTTGTTTAGGTGGTGGTTGTTAAAACTTAAGCTGTCTCTCCTGGGATTCTCCGTAGAAATTTTTGTATTGTTAAAATTAAACTGCAGCTTTCCTATTCCCCGAGTGAGATGCACACACGGAGGACTGAGCTAATTAACTTGCACCGCAGCTATTTAAGGCGCTGGGCTGAGCAGGGAGCTGGGAGTCAGGAGGCACCGTGGCTCTAATCCGGGCTGTGCTGCTCCCTGAGCCACCTCTGAGAAGTTGTTTAACCTCTCTGTGCCACTGCTTCCCTCTGGGTAATGGGAGGGATTATGATAATTGCTTCTGAAAAGCACTTTCAGGTGTTTAGGTTTGGGTTTTTTTCCAAAGGTGCAGAACTATCTGGTCCTTAGCTGAAGAGGCTCCAGGAGGCTTTGCAGAATTATGAAAACAACACTTAATGCCTCATTGTGCTCTTTAGGCCACAAAAATAAAACATTTACAGTATTTTTCATGAATCTTCTACGCACTACTCACACAAGGGCTCTTGGATACGACTGAAGAACACAGAAATGAGATATGGCTCAAAAGAGTTATTATTGAACTCTTTGTGAAATGTAAGCAAAATGTCAGAATGCTTAAATAGTACATTTTTTCAACCAAATTCTGCCTTTTCCACAGAAGCCCCAGTTTACATCTGTTAAACTTGTCTCTACCTCGAGTTGACCCCAAAGGCAACAGACTTGCTGCATTTCTCATAGGCTTTGGAGGGTATTTGAGTTTGTGCTTTACAGAAAAGGCTGATTTTCTAGGGTGAAGAGGTAGGAAGGTTTTCACGAGAGCAAGGTGAGCACAAAGTAAATGCTCTGTGAGCTGTGCCTCTATCCCAGATTTTGAAGAACGCAGGAAAGAGTGACGGTAGATTAACTCGTCTCTCTGCTGCACACGTCCAACTCCTCTTTTCCAAAGAGCAAAACCTCTTCCTTATTTGAGCTTTATGTCACAGGGAACAAATGATCCAAGGGCAGAACCCCATGGCTGAACTGCAGTTGAGAGCAAAGCGTTAGTGAAAATGTTGCTTGTGCAGCTGTTAGTGGGGTGGCTGGTTGAGAGGCACCATCCAGGCCCTGGGATGTGCCGGCAGGGTTTGGGGAAGCGACATTACTGGGGGTTTTGTGTTGGAAACATGAAGTTTAGTGTGCTACTGGAAAGTGGTCCAGTGCCAAGGCAATGGCTGCAACCTAAGCCATTGGCTGCTCTAGAAAATCTCCAGGTGCTCCCATGTTTTATGCAGGAGCTTGAAATGATGCAGCCTAAAGCCAGGGAATATATATTACATCTTCCCAGCATGAGGGACAGAGGCCCCATAAGCATGTGTTGAGAGAGGCCTGCCTGCCAAAATAGTTTAGTGTTGCTACGATGGTTGCAGGTGGTGGTTGCCTTTTAAGTTCTTGCTCTCTCTTCTGACATTTTGAGGACAGTAGATGAAGGATGAGAAGTAGGAAAGGAAACAAATTAGAAAAATCCTGTATGTGGATGGATGTCTGTACGTGCGTTCGGGTGGCTCGATGGAAAGAGCCCCATCCTACTGGAAGTCAAGGAGTCAAGGAGGGTTTGGCAATGAATAAAAGTACTTGTTGCCAATAGCTCTCTTGCCAAAACTGGGTATTGATGATAGGGCTCAGCTTAAAGCAGATGGTGTAATACATACCCTAAAGACCCCTCTGGGGAAACATGCAAAACCACGTGTCTTGTATACTACAGAGGATTTATTCTTAGGGATGAGACTGAAGAAACCTTCACTTGGATGGAGGTGAGAGTCAAATCCTGGTCCTGTGAAGCAAGAGAAATGCTTCACTGAGGCAAGGCTTTTATAAGGGACACAAGCATGTCCCTTGTTTTTCATTATATTAGGGATACGATACTGAAATCAATGAAAATGCAACATCCATCCCACATCTGTGCTTTCCTTACCCGGTCTCTTTGAGGACCAGCTCTTAGCACTCCCAGGGTTCACAGGGAGAGTAAGTAGGGCTTTTTCGAGTACTTAGGAAGTACAAGACATGAGATAAATAATTTAAACACTGATGCAGAGCATTGCCAGCTGAAAAGTGACTTACAATGTGGATTTTTTTCTTCTTTTTGAGGAGAGAAGCATGAAATGTGCCACCAATCAGCAGGGCTGCTTCTTTCCAAGAGAAAGGTTTGCTATAAGGAACACAGGCTAAAGCCAGGGCTTCTTTCTTCTTGGGCAATCCAGTCTGACTTTGGAACATCACCAGTGCAACAGACTCCTGGGATTGCGTGTAGCATGAGAAGCCCAATACCCCTATGGATCACATATTTTGTAAACTTCTGCTTGAAGAAGCATTTTGACTTTTTCCTCAACATCTGGTAGGACTTGGTCTGCAGTATTTTGTTGTTGCATTTTTTTTGTGCAACAACCTGTTGCTGCTACTTGTGAGAGACATTTAACTGAGGGTTAAAGGGCTTCTGGGTGTTTTTGTTCCATTACTTTTGCCATTTTTATTCTAACACACATCTCTTTTCCTATTTACTTTGCTCTTTGATATCTCTCTCTTACTGATGCAACAGCATCTTTCTCTTCTATTTCCAATTCTGTGTAAGAAAGAAAAACAGTCAACTGTCCTGATTTAGCTAGAGATTAAACTGCAACTATTTTTTTTCATGGACTTAATGGGAAAATTGGTGATAATTACCAACTAATGCTTTTTAAAGTCTTTTTTTTAAATGGGTGAAAGACTGTCAAGCTGTCAATCAAGACGAAGATTGGATAATGCACCATTCCTCTGACAAGTTCCCTCTATTATATTAGGCATATGCTTCGCTCTGTAAATTTGAGCTACTCAGAATTTGCCCTTAATGTTTACTTTTTCCATCCTTTCTCATTATTACTTAAAGAGTACTAGTATACCTGTACACCGTAGTGAAATAGGTGGAATAATCTTTGAAGAAAGTAACCTTAAGGTGTGATTAGCTTTCAAATGGACCCGTTGGAGTGGGTCCAGAGGAGAGCCACAAAGATGATGAGGTCTGGAGCACCTCTCCTATGAGGACAGGTTGAGAGAGTTGGGGTTATTCAGCCTGGAGAAGAGAAAGTTCCGGGGAAACCTTATAGCAGCCTTCCAGTATCTGAAGGGGCCTACAAGAAAGCTGGAGATGGATGTTTTACAAGAGCGCATAGCGGTAGGATGAGGGGTAATGGCTTCAAACTGGAAGAGGGTGGATTTAGATTAGATATTGAGAAGAGATTTTTCACTATAAGGGTGGTGAGTCCTGGTTGCCTATAGAAGCTGCGGATACCCCATCCCTGGAGGTGTTCAAGGCCAGGTTGGACAGGGCTTTGAGCAACCTGGTCTAGTGGGAGGTGTCCCTGCCCATGGCAGGGGGTTGGAATTTGATGCTCTTTAAGGTCCCTTCCAGCTGAAACCATTCTATGATTCTAATATTGTGCTATTCCTTAACATTTTTCCATTCTTCACTCTGTGACTTGGTGATGCACCCACCTGCCCTTTCTGAAGCCAGTAACCAGCCTTCAGTCAGGTTCTAAAATATCCAGACTCTGTCTTTATAATGAGCATTTTAAAGCCAGACAAGCATGAAACTCCAAGTTGCAGTGAACATTTGTGGTCCTTATGGACCGTTTCTCAAGACTTTTATTTATTTTTAAAACAAATTTGGAAAGCATATTGGAGATTCTCTTACAGTCCCCTGATTCTAGAGCCATAGGTTTTTCAGAGAAATGTTAAACCAGCAAAATTTATAATAAAAGCAGATACTGGGCCATGCTGAGTAGTGTCTCTCCACAGTACTGGCTGCTCTTTTTGTGGTTCTGTGTTTAAAGCACCATGAAACAGGCACTGCTGGTATCACACGTAAAGCACCACAAATGTACACAGCTGCTGCACAGCAGATCATCCTGCCTTCCCAGACCATTCCCCTACCTCCAATGGTATTTGCAGGTTTAAAACCATCACTTTACATTCAACCAAGAAGATCTGGTGTTAGCATGTCTGTAGTGGGATCTGCTGCTCAGGCTGGGCAGAAGAAGGAAAACCACTCCGGCAGCGTTCCCATCCTGCTGGGAGAGGAAATACCAGTGCCAGCACTGTGAAATGTCCAAATGTGGTGTTGATGTTGATGTCACTAACACTAAAAATTGCCATGATGTCATAGCAAAGCATTACAATCACCGTGACAAATGATGAGAAAAATAAGAATATAGAAATAATGGTCTCCCTTGGCCCACAGATAAATCAAAGGTTAGCTCTTGATCTCCCATTGCTCACTAGCCTGGAACGTAAATCCAAGGGTTTATCATTAAGCTTAACGGGTCATAAAATCTGGGCTATTTTGGAGGTAGTTGCAGAGATTTGCAGCCCAGGCAGAGAGAGGGCTCTAAGCTGCTGGGTCTTGTGTAACTAGTTAAATAGCAAGCTTCTAATAATACTATAAAGCTATCAAATGTAATAACTAATGCAGTCAGGCAAGTGTTCAGAGAGGGGAGCCTCGCTGATGACAAGCTTGATGATAATGACCATGAGGCCCTGGTTTAGAAAGACCTTTTAAGAACAAGTTTAAGTTCCCTTTGCTGTAGTTGGAGTCAGGTATGTGGGTCCGGTTTGGTTCAGGCGTAGCGGTTCTCTTCCTCTGCCCAGCAATGCTTCCCCCCGTGGGCCCGAGAGAGCCAGCAGCAAAAACCAGAGACGCAGAGGCGACCGACAGCTTGCTTGCTTTGTCATTGCAGTTTGAATATTTATGACAGTGCTTCACAGCATGCTAGTAAATGCATGATAACATATTATGTAATAGTAATAAAATTTTAGAAGTAGGAGACTTCACTACTGCCCTTTGCTAGTAAATCTTTGCTAACATCCATAGCGAAGCCGTGTAAAGGCCATGCCTCTTTTTTTTTTCCCCGTGTGAAATGGGAATTAGCTGTTAACTCACATTTGGAATCGCATGTTTTTTTAAAATTGCTCTCCATCTCTTGTTCAGGTTGGATTCCTGTAGAAGTTGATGGCTCTGAATTTGGGAGTGAGCAGCAGATCTTTGGTGTGTGCAGGAGAACGGATGGGGAGCAGCTCCCTTGGTGAGCGAGCCTGGAAGGAGAGGATTTGGACTGTGAGTCTTTCAAGTTTTTGCATTAATAATTCAAAGTAGGTTTGTGGGGTTTTTTTAAAGCAATGTAGAATATTGTTTACCATTTGTACTGCACTGCTCCAGATTCTTGGGAAATTATGTGCAAAGTCAGTTGTGCCTAGACTGAAGATGTCTGAGTTAGACTAAAATTTGGGTTGGGTGGCATAGATTCTGGGGGAATTTACTGGAAAATGCTGATAATGTAGAGTTGACTTTGGGATGAGTAAGAAGGTAGCTCATCGAAGGAGGAACCCATGTAGGAAACCTTATATGTCTGGCAGCTGCCAGGGCCCCTGTTGTCATGATTTGGATGACATGCCATGGCAGGACGGGGCAGAGCCCTCCCCTGAGTTGGGCAGCCAGTGATTGGTGCTGCCTACAGCTAATGCTGACCAGGAGAGGTCCACAGCTTGGTCAGCTGAGCCTTCCAGTACCTAAAGGGGGCCTACAAGAGAGATGGGGAGGGATTCTTGATCAGGGAGTGTAGTGATAGGACGAGGGGTAATGGTTTAAAGTGAAAGAGGGAAGATTTAGATTAGATATTAGGAAGAAATTCCCTACTGTGAGGGTGGTGAGACACTGGAACAGGTTGCCCAGGGAAGCTGTGGATGCACCATCCCTGGAGGTGTTCAGGGCCAGGCTAGATGGGACTTTGAGCAACTTGGTATAGTGGGAGGTGTCCCTGCCCGTGGCAGGGGGGTTGGAACTGGGTGATCTTTAAGGTCCCTTCCAACCCAAACCATTCTATGAGTCTGTGCTGGTTTTCCGATTGTACAGTCCCAGATTTCAGTCCAAGAACTAACCAGGTTCCTTGAGCTATTTTAGCATGAATAGTCAAATTGAATTAAATTTGACTTCCGCACTTAAACAGAGGTGTGTACATCAGTGCCTTAATGAATCAAGGAGAGATTCGTCCCACTCCCTCAGCTCTTGAAGACAGACGTTGGGAACTTGTGGTTAGTTATATTACAAAATTGTAGAAAAAAAAAAATTAAAGAAAAAGTAAGTTACAGATGATTTGTACTTGGCATAAGAGCACTATTATCTGTCATGATGGCTTTCCTAGCAGTACTGTATGTGCTGGGGTTCTGTGCCAATAAAACCCAGCCTCGGAAGCACATTGTGTGAATGGGTGAGAAAACAAGCCTGAAGCATGAACGATAAGCCAGAGCGTAGCGGGCTCTAAGGATGGGTGGGATGTGGGATGCAGGGAGAAGTGCAGGGGTTGGGGCTATGCAGGACTTGGGTAAATGCTTTGTGCAGTCACGGAGAGATTAAGCGTACAGCAGGTACCAGATGATTTATCTGATGTACACACATGTGTGTTTACAAGAAACAATTGCTCAATGATCAAGACTGTTATCTTAGTCTTTACCAAAGATGTTGTAAGGATGCCAAGTGGGAAAGTGAGACCTGCCAAAAACAAGAAGTAACAGTAGAAGTTGCTGACTTTTAATTTTGCGGCTTTGTTTATACAGGCAGCTCTAATTATGTATGCTGTTTCATACACAAGATTGAGCATGGCACAGCAGTTATTTCTTCATTTATTCTCTCGGTACCCACTGGTGAAAACTCCCAGCACCGTGACTGAGTGAGGCAGGAATCCCTAGACCCATAGAGCAGCGCAGGTCTTGTGGGACGAGACACTCAGCCAGCTGGGCTCATGGGTCTGTTAGCTCCCACAGTTCAATCCTTCCCTGATTTCATGCGTCTGGGGGCTGTCCTGGAAGATCTGGTGAGGCTTTAGTTTGGTACAGCTGGAAAAGCAGAAGCTGTAGTGGGGCTTGTCCTTTGGGGATGGGGTGCCTTGTGTTACCTGGTTTTATGACCCCAGTTCTCTGCCTGGTAAAGGTTTGGTTTTGGTGCAGTAATTCTGCAAACACTTTTCTTGAATTTCAGGAGGCCCCCAGACTCCTGCCTTTTGCAGTAGCGTGGAATCGGGGCCTGAAAATCTCCTTGTGCACTTGAGAAAGGTGGTGGGATGGAGGTACCGTGCTTTTGAGTTTGATCCATGAGATGAGTGGTGTTGCAAGATGCGTCTGGGTTTCAGCCTGTTCTTATATTGTATCTGGCAGTTCCAAAATTCCCCGAACTTTGCTCTTTCACTCTTAGATTTCTCTTTTCTAAGAAAGCATTGACTGTTTCTGAATTTTGATGCTTTATATAGGCTCCTTTTCCTCCTCCTCTCACCGCTTGCTGCCTCTTCTCCTCCGCCCCAGTTACTAAAATCTCCTCTCCTGGATGCGTCATCTTTGTCAGCCGTGCTCTCATCGCCTGCGGGCCGAAAGCAGAGCAGAGCACGCTCGAGGAAGAAGAAACAACCCTGAGCACCCCTTAAAGTTTTCAAGTGGCTGGAAGTTGTTTGTCGACCCAAGGCAGCTCACGGGAGTCTCTTCTGCTTTTCACTCCCTCCATCCTTCATCTGGCAGGGCTCGGCCCCTGGGCTCGGCAGGGGCTCTGCTCTCACACCAGAGAGGCTTTGCATTTCCAGATAAAAGGGACCACCGAGTACCCCAGGGTGGAAATACCAACTGCAAAATTCCTGCAGTCAGGGTGGTAGGTGCCTTCAGGAATATGGGGAGCCGTTTGATAGGGAGAAAAGAAACAGGAGAGCAAGGAATTTTGGAAAAATAGGTAAAACGGAGAGGAAAAACGCATGATGGCGGAGCAGAGCTGAACCGGCTGGTGAGAAATAGCCATTTTTATTCCTTCAGTAATCGAGTCATGGCTTTCAGGGGCATTATGAATAGCTCTTAGGTGGAGAAAGTTTGCAGGTGGGGGATTGACTGAGCCTGACTCTCTCCATGGGCTTTCTCAGGGCACGGCCAGACAAAGCTCCCAGCGACCTGCCCTGGTCCTGCTGTGAACGGGAGGCACAGGGACCCTTCCAGCAGGGGTGAATCTGTGACGTTGCTTGGTGTTTGGAGAGAGGATGAAAACAAACAGAAATATTTGGGTCAGTGCCAAATAGAAGTATTAGGATTGACATGGCAAATTTGTTTTAATGTAATCTGGGTTTAATCACTGGTGTTGACTGTGCTGACGGCTTCTGGGTCCAACAAGGAGGTTGATCTAGATAAATGTATTTATTTTCTTGCTTTTCATTTCCCATGAATGTACATACTGGTATAGCTTAAAAGCGCATAGCAAGGAAGAAACAAAGGAGAGAGGACAAATTAAGTGACTGCTGCCACATTAATTATTCCATCACATTTCAACTCATATTTTTAAACCTACAACTTTGAATGGGGACGTTCAAAATTATCTTTGCAGTGACCATCTTTCCATCTAATTTAAAGTCATTCAACTTTACAAGAAGCAATTATGCTCCACACTAACAAATGAAAAGACATGGCAACATCAGAAAAACTGATTATTCAAGCAGTCTTTCTTACATAAAATAGCTAACTAATCTCCTGGCTTCAGTCCTTGAGTGCTCTTGCAAATACCCTCCTGAAAGATAACTTCATTCTCGGTATGCTGCCAGCCTGCTTCTCATCCCTGATTGCTCTCTAAGTTGTCGGAGGAATGGTTTGGGGGTTCAGAAATTATTTTCTCTTTTGTCTCTGTGGCTCTTCTTGCATTCACTGCTGGTTTTATCTTCCTCTTCTTCTGTGATCAAAGAAAGTGAGGGCACACAGGGAATGAGAATTGTGTCCTGCTTTGAAAAATAAGGAGATTCCTAGACTTGCTGTTCTTCTGGCTTCTCTGACCATTGTCCTTGAGGCCAGCTAATCTGAGGTTCAGGACGCATGTAAATATTGATGGATGTTGTTGGCAGAGAGACGGGTCCATTTGCAGGTTGCTTGGTTTATTGGCATAGAGATACTTGATGTGTCCTGGTCCAAAACCTGTGAAAGGAGGGGAGGGAAGCTGCCAAAACATAGGAACTCTCTAAAAAACCCCAACAACTCGATTCTCAGTTTTTAGATTTTCATTTTAGGTTCTGCAAGTTGCTGTAACTAGCATAGTGTTGCACTTGAAATCTTGTTATAAGCAAAAGGAAACACATCTTACTTGCAAAGTCAAGAATCTATTGTTACTGTAATTGAAATCTTAACCCTCTAATGAAATGGTTATTATTAGTCCAACTCTACTTATTACAGAAAAAGAAAAGGAAAATTAAAAATTGTGCTACAGAAGAAGCCTCAAGTTAATGTTGCTAAACACATATTTTCTAACATCTGTGCCTTTCTCTGCTCACTCTTCTACTGCCCCTTGGGAAAAAGTGGGGTGGCAAAGGGGTAAGTTTTTGGTTTTCTTTTTTCTTCTTTCTTGGGTCCCCTGCAGGCATGTCTGGCTTTCTGTACTGTACATCAAAGTCTGCCCCCAAATTGAAATGCAACCAGCAGAAGCAGAGGTTCAATTCAAATTCAGCTAGACTGACCAATTTTTGCAGGTGGAAATAGCTGTCTTGTAAGGGCTTTTATCCCCCTTTAGCCTTTCTGACCCTTCTGTAAATTCCAAAAGCCTCTTCTCCAATAAAGCATTTCTGCTTCTAGTCCTGACTGCTCTTAATATTAAAAATAAATAAATAAAAAATACAGTGAGTCATTGGTTTCCTGTGCTGCCTCCAGGAGGAGCATGATGCTGATGGTGGCATTTAGTCTTCCTTGCTGGAAGAAGCAGGAGGTGGAGATTGGTGGTATCTTCGCTGGACTCTAGGATACGCTTGGGATAATAAATATATTTATGTTTTCCAGCATATTTTTAGATGATCTTCCTTAAAGCCTGCATTCCCATGTTATATCCATGTTTAGTGTATGCAGAGCGTCTTAAACATATTGGATACTTGTTTCCTGTTCTCTTTGCTACCCCAAAACCTGATTTTGCCAAGGTCTGCATTTCTTTGGCTGTTAGTGATATATATATGGGAGCTTATAGTGTGTTGCCTAGGGGGGGTCCAGTACCATCCTGTGCCTCCTCTCTTACCTTCCCGCATCCGCACCCTGCTGTGTGGCATCCTGAGCCCCTGCTTGGGA